ACATGTTCATGTACATGTACAGTAGATCAATCTAGATACATGTACATGTACATAGGAACAGAAAACCAAAGACAGAACACGTAATCTGTATGTGACCAGTAAGCCTTGTCATTGCTTGGGCTTTGCACCAAGTACTGGTTATCACCACACCATTCAAGCTAATGTACACATACATGTACATATTGAACATTCCTTAGTTAACTTACATGTACATAAGAAATTATCAGAAGTTATTCCTGTAAGTAGATTCTGTGAAAAGGCAGTAGGACCTTGCCGACTAGGTCTCTAACATTATTCCCTTGCTGTGCTCAGCAGAAAGACTACGGTTGCCAAACCCCAGTAGTTTGCAATGACACCTTTTGAATTCACAAACATCTAGCGCTGTAAAGTGTTCCAATCACATGAACGAATTCAGGGTGGAGATTATCTGTTACGTTTTCCAGGCATCGGAAATGGACTGTCCCCAAGCTTCATTTCCAGCAAATTTGTCACACTGCCCCCATCACTGTGCGTAATCATGCTCCTGATGTGGTTTCCTTGCTATGAACTTTGCCAGCTCATTCAGGGTTTTTGTGTAGATGAACTCATCTGAGGCTGAGGCAGCTATTTGTATGGAAGGGCTAGTTATTGACGATCCGGAACTACTGGTGGTGGGTTGGATGCAAAACATTATTGACGCATCTTGGAGCGACCCTGCTGAACTCACAGGCATGGGCGATGAATCAGATGAGCTTGAATCTTGTCTAGGAAGGATTGTTTGCAGCTGTGAGTTAGTGGAATGCACAGTGTCACTTGAGATTGCTGGTGGTTCACTATCTTGATTATTTTGGTTTGGAAGATGCTTTTCACTTTCAGTAGGTGACTGATTACAGGTTTCAAGCAACAAAGATGCTGGTGTAGAATTTGGCCCTGACGTTTCTGGAAATACATGTACCTCTTCGTTTTTGTCAGATTGGGCACTGCTTGTTCTGGTTCTGGGATTCTCACAGAAATCTTCCTCGGAACTGGACGAATCTTGAAAATCTTCACTAGACTCAGTCTCTGACTCTGGGGTGTCAGCTTTAGTCTGTCTGGGAAAGATGACCTTGATTCGGGTCTTTTCCAGTGGTTCGCCGACATTTTGTTTTGAAAGCATCGACTTCAGCAATCTGGAACACTTACAGATTGCCTCTCCAGATGGATGCTGAAAAAAAGAAGATGCAATTCACAGGTCCATTTCAGCCTATGGGTACAAACCCTGTGGTTTTGAATTTCTGCTAAGGTAATCCAAATCCAAATACTAATGATGAAGGAACAGTTCACATTTGAGCCATCTGAGCAAAAGGTTTAGGGATTTTTGGACAGATTCTCCCCAAACTGTAAAGAGATCTTTTCAGTCATAATAAAAACCATATAATAATAAATAAATACTATAATAATATAATAAAAAAGTACTGGTCTCGTGTCAGAAAACAGCAAATCAAACTCTGCAAATGAGAGAAAGTTGCCTTCAACATAATATGGCCAGACAGGTACATGTATCCCGGTTATTAATTATGTAACACTTTGATGTACATGTGCAGGCCTTTTGGGTACTATTGCCACAAACATGAAAACGTGTTGGACTCTGCACTGTGGTAACATACGCATCTGTGCCTTACCTCGCTGTTTGTGTCAGGCTGTGATCTGATCTGGGCTACTCCAGTCCGCTTCGCTACTGGTGAGACTTTGAAGACTCGGTTGCACTCTCCAGCCAGTACAGAACTTCTGAAAGTGTTGACTTTTTTGACGATGGTCTTGACTTGTCGGACACAGTTTGAACACATCCAGCCCTGCTCCACTTCCAGGTTGAGATACTGCCTCAAACATTCCTGCAAGTCCAGCCTTCCTTTGTTACTCAAAATATGACGGCCATTTTCGGAGATGCTCTGGCACGCAATGCACATTCTCTTGGGAGGACGGGGCCGAGGTTTGGTCTGAGGGATGATAGCTGTCATCGTTTTGCCTGTGCCTGGGACCTGGTGCTGCTGACTTGATGAATGCAGACAGGTTGTCAACACCTGGGGCTCAGTTGTGGGGAGTGGTACGGACCAGCTTTTGCCTGGTTCAGATTCACTCACCGCTTTCTGCTTTTTCCGTGGAGGTGATCGAGGCCGTATCAAGTCTGCAGGGGGGTCGTAGCCCAGTTTCAGGATGGGATCAGGGTTCTGTTTTGTAGGCTGACCATCAGGGAAGTGTTCGGAGCAAACGCTGCTCCTTCCAGCAGGGTCTGGTTGCCAGGTCTCCCCGCTGGGGTTCTTGCGATTGATCAACTTGGTCCACCGCTCCCGGCCCGGTTTGTCCCTCTTGGTCGGAAATGGGAAAAACCTGAGCGGTGGATCGCATTGGCAAGGTCCTGTGCCATAATTGCAGTCATGGATACTGCATCTACCTGACCTCCATTTGTAGTAATGGTAAGAGGTGTTGCTACATGTTGGAACGGCACAATACTTCATGTTGCCAATTCATCTACTGTACCTCGATAAAATGGAAAAAACAAATGTGACCAGTGACAGTGCAAAAGCCATGTTAAGTCAATGAGGGAGACCAAACTACTAATGCTGTGAAATGAACACATTAACGTCCTGCAAGATACCGTCATTTTGCTGGGAGTTCTCTAAGTGCCCCTAAAGTCAAATGCTGTACTATCAATAATCGTTTGAGATGTTTACAAAAGGGGAACAGCACATGCAATGTAAGGCTATGGCGTGAGGGCCCTTGTAGGGATCTTGAGTCAGTCAAAGTCATTGAAGACAAGGTGATGAATCTTGGAGGAATGGGGAGGTCAGTGATAATGCATGTCATGCACAGAGTACCGGACACCAGCGTTTGTCTCTAGGGATTTCACTCTACCATGATCCTCGATACCTACAAATTTCTTGTTAAGTTTGTTAATCTGATCAAAGCACTATTCATTACTTACCAGGATACACAGTGAAAGAAAAGATTGCCTATCTATGCAACGAGTGATTTGCCAGCACTAATACTGGAAGACTTACAATGAACAACGCCTACACGTTGGGTGCGACTAGACAACGAGCATGATTGGTCAATGCAGGATGATGAGGTACAAGTGATTCTGATTGGCCAGTATTACCGGTAGCTCATTACTATTCACACCCTTTGTCCAGGATAAAGCTTATGTTCTTGGAAAGGATTCTCAGAATTTTCTTTCTCTGGTAACCTTTAAAGATACTCTCGTCGTGCTGGTTTGCTTCCTAATGCACTCATAGGCACTGACATCATAAGGTCACTTTAGTCAACCTCGACTCCATGGGCTATGTGTGCGTTCCTTCAAAGATTGTGAAGGGTATGGTGGAACAAACACGGTGTGGCAAAATCACACCCAGGGGAACAAGGTTGCACTTAAGTACCCGACAGTCACTGGATGGTGCTATTTGAAAAATGTTAAAGACACCCATGATATCGTGTCTTTAAAATTTGAAGATTATGATTTATTTTTATGAATAGCTTTATCTCAAATCTACAGCACAACAATGCGTGAAAAGAGGATGGAGTGTGAGATAAAAGGAAATGCATTAAGGCCTAGCATGTTGTGGGTACACTTCTCCTATGGGGTTGTGCATCCAAAGGGCCTTGCTTGTTCGTCATCCAAACCAATGATGCATTGTGAACCTAAAACAGGTTTATTGCCAACAAATGCCAAGGGAAGTCATGCAGATTGCTCTCAGTAGCACAAGTTGTGGACTTTCTTTGTTGCAGAATCATATGCCACACAGCACAGTAGGAATACATCAAGCAATTTTTTAAAACATTTATTCGGAAATCAATCCTCTCAATGACAAGTCCACATACAAACAAGATACCGTAGGACAGTTAATTCATTCTGGGATCTAGCCCCCAAAAGCCTACAAACCTGTGTGCATACATTAGCAAAACATTGTGGTTAATAGGCTAACAAAATAGCATGGAAGAAGGAATACACAGCAGGATAAACATGACAAACACCCAAAAACAAAACAACAAAATGAAATTGCAGAAAGACACATCAACATGATCAAACGCCGTTGAAAACGAACCAAAGCAAGAAGAAATTTCATAATACATTCTCTATATTTAGTAATTTAAAACCCAGTTTTCTTACATTCAACCATGTTTCTGCATTTGTGTAAGACAAAGAATCGTCCACTTGACCATCACCAACTGTCACCCATCAGAATGTAGCATACATGTACAACCTGCGCTGAACGAACCCACACTCAACAGACGTACGTAATTATACATGTACATGTAGCTAGCTAGCTCCATGTTCACCATCCATGATCGACAAATGCAACAGCGCCACCAATAGTTCTGTTGCCGTGAAC